GTACTGTCACCCCATTTTTCAGATGGAGAAGTTGAGGCAAGAGAGAGGTTAAGTAATTTATCCAGTATCATACAACTAGTAAGTGGCAGAATCAGAATTCAGTCCCAGGCATTGTGACTCCAGAATGTGTGTTTTTAACCTCCTTGGGCTGCCTTTAATCTCTGACTCCTGAACCGCATTAGTTTCCTGTGGCTGCTGTAACAAGGCAAAGTGAGAGATTAATTTTCTCACAGTTCTGGAGGCTAGAAGTAAAAAATCAAGGTGTCAGTGGGCCCACTCCCTCCAAAGACTCTAGGAAAGAATTCTTTTCTTGCCCTTTCCAGCTTCTAGTGCCCCAAGTGTTCCTTGGCTTGCTGGCAGCATAATTCCAATCTCTGCCAACCTCTGTCTCTTCAAGAAAGTCTAGGCCTTTTCTGTCAAGTGCCTCAAAATTCTTCCAGCCTTTTCCCATTTCCCAGTTCCTAAGCCACTCCCACGTTTTTAAGTATCTGTTGTAGCAGCACTTCCTTTCCCAGTATCAGAATCTGTTTTAGGGGACTTCCCTGGTGGCGCAGTGGTTAAGAATCTGCCTGCCAGTGCAGGGGACACGGGTTCGAGCCTGGTCTGAGAAGATCCCACATGCCGTGGAACAGCTAAGCCTGTGTGCCACAACTACTGAGCCTGCGGTCTAGAGCCCACAAGCCACAACTACTGAAGGCCGCATGCCACAACTACTGAGCCTGCGCTCTAGAGCCCACGAGCCACAACTACTGAGCCTGCGTGCCACAACTACTGAAGCCCTCATGCCACAACTACTGAGCCTGCGCTCTAGAGTCCGCGAGCCACAACTACTGAAGCCCGTGCACCTAGAGCCCATGCTCCACAACAAAGAGAAGCCACTGCGGTGAGAAGCCCGCACGTCACAACTAGTGAAGCCCTCATGCCACAACTACTGAGCCTTGCGCTCTAGAGCCCGCGAGCCACAACTACTGAAGCCCGCGCACCTAGAGCCCATGCTCCGCAACAAAGAGAAGCCACTGCGGTGAGAAGCCCGCGCGCCACAATGAAGAGTGCCACAACTAGAGAAAGCCACAACTAGAGAAAGCCCACGTGCAGCAACAAAGACCCAATGCAGCCAAAAAAATAAGTTAAAAAATTAAATCATAAAAAAAAAAGCATGAAATCAAAGTCTGTTTTAGTTTCCTAGGGCTGCCATAACAAATTGACCATAAAATGAGTTGTTTAAAGCAACAGGAATTTATTCTCTCGCGATTCTGGCGGCTAGAAGTTTGAAACCAGTGTCAGCAGGATTGTTTCTTTCTGGAGGCTCAGGGAGACTCTGTTCCATGCCTGTCTCCTAGCTTCTGGTGGTTGCTGGCCTTCCTTGGCATCTCCTGGCTCATAGGCAAAGGCACATCACTTGAATCTCTGCCTCCATCTTCACATCACCTTCTCCATGTGTCTCTGAATCCTCTCCTCTTGTAAGGATAGCAGTCATTTGATTTAGGGCTCACCCTAAATCCAGAATGATTTCATCTCAGGATCCTTAGCTAATTACATCTGCAAAGACCGTATTTCCAAATAAGGTCACATTCTACGGTTTCAGGTGGACATACCTTTTTGTCAACCCACCACACTAGCGTTCCTCACTCTTATTAGTTTCTGTGGGTTTGTTTAGAAATGAAACTCAAAACGTACTGTTAGTCATTAACCTCTTACTTATCTTGCCTAAGTAAAAGCCAAACAGACTTTAAAATGTAGGCACATAATCTGTAAGTTTGCTGTTAATTGTATTTTTGGCCCATATTTTCATTCCATTCTGTCCTCCGCTGTGACTTCAGGGAAGCCAGGCCAGTTTGGGTGTGCAGAAAGAATGTTGTAGAGACAGAGCTTCTGTAGAAACCAAATTCTAACCCCATAAACAAAGGTACTTACAAATTGATGTATATTCATCTAGGAAAGCAGTTGTCACTTTTACAATTAGATAATCTTGGTTATATAAACTGTAAATGTGCCCAAGTACATCAATATTAAAACTTCTTTGAAAGCATTAGCTGTCATTGTTCACTCAGTTTTGCTACTTTATGCTTTTGATGAATTTATCCTTCTGTAACTTCAAGAAGAAAAAAAATGGTCATTGTTGAGTATTATCTTTGATGAGCAGAATGAAAAATAGAGCTAATTTTACTTTTTTTTTTTTTAATATATATTTTTGGCCGCATCGGGTCTTAGTTGCGGCATGTGGGATCTTTCGTTGTATCTTGTGGGCTTCTCTCTAGTTGTGGCATGCTGGCTCCAGAGCGCATGGGCTCTGTAGTTGCGGCATGCGGGCTTAGTAGTTGTGGGTGTGGGCTTAGTTGCCCCGCTTCATGTGGGATCTTAGTTCCCCAACCGGGGATTGAACCCGTGTCCCTTGCATTGGAAGGTGGATTCTTAACCCCTGGACCACCAGGGAAGTCCCCCAATAGAGCTGTTTTTAGAGGGACATTGACAAAACTGTACATTTAGGGGAAGAATATCAGGGTAGTGACGACTGGAAAACATGCTGTATGAGGAATAAAGTATTTGAGCATGTTTGGCCTGAAAAGAAAAAAAGTGGGGTAAAATTATAGATGTTGTGAAAGAGTTGATGGACTGTGTGTGGAGGAGGCATTAGGTTTATTTCAGAGAATTCTAGCAGGCAGAATCAGGATGGATTGGTGGAAACACTAGGTGTGTGTCATCTCTTAAAAGGAAAAAACTTTCTAACAGAGCAGTTCCAATCTAGAATAGACTGCCACCATATAAAGTTGTGAATTCTCTGTTAAGATGAAAATTAAGATTAAAATTAAGTGTTCTCCGCTAAGATGGAAATTATGCAGATGCCAGCATGGGCTAAGTCAGTCAACTGATAAGGACCCTTTTAGTAGCCTGTGAGTTGCTTGAAAAATTGGACAGAATGTCCATTTAATTAAATTTGTTCCCATAGCATCTCACTTTCATGTAGAAATCTTATGCTCATGAATTGTTTTCTACCCAAAAAACGTTTTTATGTAGAATATTTTTCTTGTTCCATTGAAATTTGTAGATATTTCTGAATCAAGAGGAAAAAAGCAAATAAGGAAAGAATTTGATATCTTTAAACAGAGGAAAAATCCTTAAGATTGAAATCTTAGAAAACAAAGAATTAGGCTGTCCTGTGACTCTTGTGCTCCGTCAAAGCTCACTATGTACTTTTTATTTATTTATTATGTATTTTTGGCAGCATTGGGTCTTTCTTGCTGCGTGGGCTTTCTCTAGTTGCGGCAAGCGCAGGCTACTCTTAGTTGCGGTGCGCGGGCTTCTCATTGCGGTGGCTTCTCTTGTTGCAGAGCTCAGGCTCTAGGTGCGTGGGCTTCAGTAGTTGTGGTACGTGGGCTCAGTAGTTGTGGCTCATGGGCTCTAGAATGAAGGCTCAGTACTTGTGGCCCACGGGCTCAGCCACTCCACAGCATTTGGGATCCTCCCGGACCAGGGCTTGAACCCGTGTCCCCTGCGTTGGCAGGCGGATTCTTAACCACTGCGCCACCAGGGAAGCCCCCTATTAATCTTTTTATTTAGAGGATTCTGACATCTTTAACATTTTAAATTGGAGTAGACCGTTGTTATCACTCAGTCATAAAAAGTCAGTAGAAATACCCACTGTAGAGTGAAATCTAGAGCAGCTTAAAAAAATGATTTTCAGAAATTTTTGTAAAAAGCTTCTAACAGAAATATATTAATATCATATGTCAGCAGATGCTGATTTGAAAGAGGGAAAACAGGGACCCTTTATTAATCTCTTTTTCTTTAAAATTTTTGATAATTTTGATATCCTTTTATTTATCCATGATTTAATATATCCCTTCTTTGTTCAGAATTATTGAATGTCTCATTCCTGGAATTCTACATTTTAATTTATTTACTACCTTACTAGTAACAATAATATTTTCTGTGTATTGATCACTAATGATGTTTTCCAGACACTATGATAGATGCCTTATTATAATACCTTTATTTACCTTATAGTATCTTACAGTGTCCCTCAAGACAGGTACTGTTGTCCCCATTTTACCAGTGAGGTGAATAAAATGTCTCAGAGGCTCAGAGGAGTTGTGTCTTGTCCCTGTTCACATATCTCATTTAAATCCATATCTTCCTTAAAGTGCTCTTCTTTCAGCTTCGTGAGTTTGCCTTTGAGCAGACAGGAATGTTAGACTCTTTCTTGTTAGGTACCTCACACACACTCCTGAATTCTTCTGAATGAGAGAAGAACTAAGTCACATATGTTTCTCAAAGTCTGGTCCTAGACATTAATTTGCCTTGTGTTTTTAGTTATTAGTGTTGACGTCTCCACCTCCATTACAAGTGACTGGCATCGTTAGAGAGATTTAAGCAGGAAAAGAAGCTGCTGTGCTCTTCTTCTCTCCAGTTTGAGCTTTGATTGTCTGTTAAGAAAGAGAGATGAGGCATTGTTACTTGATTGAGATGACTCCTTCAGGGGCCAGAATTTCGCAGAGCATTTACACCATTTGGATGGAAATGTTTCTAAACTATACTGTAATGTGAACCTGCTCTGTACCTACCAAGTACTGAACATAGTTTAAGTATTTCTGGTTATTCTGCTCCTCGCATTGTTACAGTGATGATCTTAAAGTTGATTGAAGTGTAACCAAGACTGTCCTCCACCAAGTACTCACACGCTCTGAATTTTAAGGTCATGTTTCTGCATGTCATGTTTTTAGATATCTTTCTTTGCTGCTATACTAATTCCTCTCTTCCCACTACTACAAGCAAATTATTTTATCCTAAGCTGCTATGGGCTAGGAAATCAAAATAATTAGAGGTTCAAATAAAATGAGTACCTTGAGTTTGAATGAGACTTGATAGGATCTCTTATGAGCAAATATACTGAGCTTTAGTGCACAATCTTTGTGTGTTTTAACTTCCACTGGTTAGATAAAATTGTCAGGCAAGTGCCATTTTGTCTAACATCAAAGTGTTTTTGTGCTTTTTTTAAACAGAGAAGAAGATACAGAAAATGAAAATGAAAAGAAAATTTGGTACTACAGCACAAAGGTCCAGCTTGCAGAATTAATTGACTGTCTAGACAAAGATTACTGGGAAGCAGAACTCTGCAAAATCCTAGAAGAAATGCGTGAAGAAATCCACCGGCACATGGACATAACTGAAGACCTGACCAATAAGGCTCGGGGCAGTAATAAATCCTTTCTGGCGGCAGCTAATGGTGAGAGGGAAATTTTCTTATTTTACTTTTTGTTACATTTCCTGGTATGAAATCACTGCAAAATATGAAAATATATTAAAATTCTCAAGTATGATTATTTTAATTCTCTATATTTCATTTTCTCATCCTATATTTCATTTTGTTCATCCTAACATAAATTGGGGATCCTGTGCATTTTAGTGTTTTGTACCTTGCCTTGCTCATTACTGATATTCCCCAAATTATATTTGTTTCTTTCTTTAATTCAAGAATTTTATTAATAAAGCTTTTAGGGAGTCCTATTTTTAATTATGAGAAATGGTATTCCTTTAAAATTTACTCTTTGCTTTCTTTTTTTCTAATAAACTTTTGATTTTAGAATAATTTTAGAGTTACAGAAAAGTTGCTAAGATAACACAGAGGGTTTCACGTACCCTGCAGCATGCTTCCCCTATTGTCAACATCTTTTTTTTTTTTTGCGATACGCGGGCCTCTCACTGCTGTGGCCTCTCCCATCGCTGAGCACAGGCTCCGGACACGCAGGCCCAGTGGCCATGGCTCACGGGCCCAGCCGCTCTGCGGCATGTGGGATCTTCCCAGACCGGGGCACGAACCTGTGTCCCCTGCATCGGCAGGCGGACTCTCAACCTATGCGCCACCAGGGAAGCCCGTGGGGGCCACTCTTCATCACGGTGCGTGGGCCTCTCACTATTGCGGCCTCTCTTTTTGCAGAGCACAGGCTCCAGACGCGCAGGCTCAGTAGTTGTGGCTCACGGGCCTAGTTGCTCCGCGGCACGTGGGATCCTCCCAGACCAGGGCTCAAACCTGCGTCCCCTGCATTAGCAGGCAGATTCTCAACCACTACGCCACCAGGGAAGCCCCAGATCATGACTTCTAAATCTCATTCTCCAGGGGTTCCCTGGTGGCGCAGTGGTTGGGAGTCCGCCAGCCGATGCAGGGGACGCAGGTTCGTGCCCCGGTCCGGGAAGATACCACGTGCTGTGGAGCAGCTGGGCCCGTGAGCCATGGCCGCTGAGCCTGTGCATCCAGAGCCTATGCTCCGCAGCGGGAGAAGCCACAGCAGTGAGAGGCCCGTGTACCGCAAAAAAATTAAAAAAAGAAAAAAGAAAAAAAAAAATCTCATTCTCCAATTAAAAAAAGAATCAAGACTCCTTGAGAATTCTAGGGCTGGGGCAAAGAAAATACAAGGTGCGTCTGGAACATCTTGCAGTGCTGGAAAGTGAGGAAGCACAGAAGGAAGGAAGGTGCGAAGGAAGTGTGCTTAATGGTTACAGGACTCATGTGTTTAAAGGATACAGGACTTAACTAGAAAAGCTCCCAATGGCCAAAAGCTGGACCGATTTGAGCAACAAAGTAAAAATGATAGTACTGGATCATAACCCAAAGAACATTATTAATATACAGGAGTCTATGCTGATATAACTTGTGGTCTGCACCCATGCCGTAGTATCACTCCACCCTAGTTGAAAGAAAATTAGAGCCATTAGGGATTTATTGACTTCTAGAAAGTTATGGGACTTCAGAGAGAAATGTTTCCAAATGGGCCTCTGTTTTCTCATTTTACAGTGGAGGCCTGAAGATTTAGTAGCCTACCCCCAGGCTCACGTAGTTAATTCAGGTCAGATCTGTGCTAGGTCCTGGGTCTCTAGGTTTTTGTTACGGTACCACACTGCCCAGACTGTGGGTCTGTGTCAGCTTAACAGGTTTTCTCCTATGGCAGAGGATATCACAGTAATCTATATCAATTTTAAAAGATAGACTAATTTTTCTTTCTTTTTTTAAAAAGAAATTAGAGCCTATATTATCATGTATTTTCTAGAAGTGAAGATAACCAAATCGATTGAGTTCTCTAAACATCAAAATGTTACTGGTAATCTTGATCCTTATTTCATAGTTTTTAATGCTTTTAGCAAATTTATCTTTAATAACTTGTATTGAAACTCTTAAGTGGCATTTGTAGTACTTTTATACTTGGTATATATGGAAACATAATTTTTTATTTGTTTTATTATAGAAGAAATTTTGGAATCTATAAGAGCCAAAAAAGGAGACATTGATATTGTTAAAAGTCCAGAAGAAATAGAAAAGGAGAAGAATGAGACTGAGAATAATAACTCCAAAGATGCTGAGAAAAGCAGAGAGGAGTTTGAAGACCAGAGTCTTGAAAAAGACAGTGATGACAAAACACCAGATGATCCTGAGCAAGGAAAATCTGAGGGTAAAAACATTATTTGGTTGAAAAGAAATATTTCATCAGTGTTACTTATGAAAACTCCAGTTTTACTTGCAAAATGAAAATGAATCTTTTTTATTGCAAACAACTATTTAATTTTACATTTCTGAAGAGATTAGGATACCCTTCCTCCTTATATAACATGTACAGTCATTGTAATGAGTTTTATATATTGGTGGATTTACTATAATGTTATACCCATATCTCTATTTATACTTCTTAATAAGGTGCCATTTCCCTATAAGATTTTTTTGGTGAAAATCACTGTTTTTATACCAGAATATACACTTTTGTATGTGATATAATACGTTCCTTTTCATGTTAACTACTTAAACATTCTTAATATATCAAATATTCTTAAATACCCTTTGGATTACCTGCTGCAAAATTATCCCAGAATCTAATTGCTTCAAAGTGGCCATCGAATAGAAGCCAGGTTTTTTGGTGATCATTCATTTTTAGTAGTTGACTGAATGTGGCCATTTGTCCTAAAGCAATTTTAAAGGATATCTTTAAAGTTTTGTTGTGCATTTTACTGTAGAGCCAACAGAAGTTGGGGATAAAGGTAACTCTGTGTCAGCAAATCTTGGCGACAACACAACAAATGCTTCTTCAGAAGAGACTAGTCCCTCTGAAGGGAGGAGTCCCGTGGGGTGTCTCTCAGAAACCCATGATAGCAGCAACATGGCAGAGAAGAAGGTGGCATCTGAGCTCCCCCAGGATGTGCCAGGTACAGAGGGCAGTGTATCAATGCCTCTGTAATGGGGGGGAAATCCTTCCCTTTAGTAGTAAAAGCTGAATGTCACCTAAAACTTTAAAGTATGTGTTCATTCATGCTGCTTGCTTACATGAGTGCCATCCCTGATTGCTAAGTTGTCACCTAACATTTGGAGTTTGACAGATGTTCTTGCATTTAGTGCTTGAAACTCATCATAATCTTCATGCTTTTTAAAGTTCATTTAGCTGTTTTTGTCTAATAGACTTATTTTTATATTTTATCACCAGACCATAGTGGCAGATATTTTGGTTTTAAGTACTCACATACTAATGGCTCAGTGTTGAATGATTTGACCATTCCAATTCTGTATGTACTAACAGATTAATTTTATGTTTGCATGTGGTCATGTAAGTTTTTTTTAACAACATCTCAAACCATAATGTTATAATAGAAAACCATTGTCACAATATATTTTGACATGAAAATGTAAATTAACCAGTAATAAATATTTTAAGCTTTTTAAAATTAAAATTATACTCAAAATAAGTTATATCACACCAAGAATGTTATTATGCCTTTCCTTTTGCCTTTTTTAAAAATGAAAAAAAACTTTTTTCTTATAGGAGCTGTGTGTATATTTTTGAAAAACAAATTAGAAAACTTAGATGAGCAAAACAAGAAAAAAAATACTGGTAATCCTATCAAAAGTCAATAATTATAGTTAATACTGTATTGGAAATCCTTAAAGAGTTTTTCTGTGTATTACAAGAATGTCATGTAGTTCTTTCCTTTTTTTTCCCCGCCTCTCTTTATTTTAGCCATTCTGGTAGGAATGTAAGGATATCTTATTGTGATTTGAACTTGTAGTTCCCTGGTGACTAAGGATGTTGAGCACCTTTCGTGTGTGTGTGTGCGTGTGTGCGCACGCCTATATATGTGTGTGTATATATATATATTAGACATTTGGATAACTTCTTTTGAGAATTGCCTGTCAGTTCTTTTGTTCATTTTCTATCAAGTGGTCTCTTTTTTGTGTGTGTGGCTGTTTCATTGGCTGGGCTAAGTCCAGTCCGTCTACTCCATCCTGACTGGAAGCAAAAGTTTTTCCATTGATATTTTAAAAAATGTTAACCCAATCTCATCATATTCCTGGAATAAATACAACTTGGTTGTGATATGTTCTTGTTCTTATGTATTGTTGCATTTCATTTTTTAATATTTTGTTTAGGATTTTTGCGTCAACTTTCATGAATGAGATTGACTTGCAATTTTCTTTCTGTGATAATGTCCATGTCAGGGTTTGAAGCCTAGATTATGCTGGCCTCATAAAATGAGTTGGTACAAGTTCCCACTTTTCCTTTTGTCTGCAAGAATTTCTGTGGGTTGGTGTTATTTATTCCTTAAATGTTTGCTAAAGTCTTCTGGTCCTGGAGTTTTCATTGTGGGAAAGTTATTCATTGTAGATTTCATTTCTGTGGTAGATAGTAGGCTATTCGTATTTTTTCTTGTTTTCTTGTGTCAGTTTTAGTAAATTTTATTTTTCTAGGAATCTACCATTTCATTTAAATTTAAAATTTTATTGACATAATAACATCCTATTTTTTAAATGTCTGTAGCATCTGTAGTGATCTCTTTTTTCAGTCGAGAAATTGGTTATCTGTTTTCTCTTAATCATTTCATAAGACTATTAAAAATTTTTATGAGTCTTTAAAAAAATAACTTTGGGCTTTGTTTATCCTCTCTATATTTTTTCTAGGTTTTTATCTTATTTTTATTTCATTCCTTTTATTTTTTTTCATTTTTGTGAATTTTTCTTCCCTGTCTTTTTTTTTTTTTCAAAACCACTCTATTGAGGTATAATTAATATACAAAAACTGTACATATTTAATATGTACAACTTGATGAGTTTGGAGATAAATATATACCTGTGAAACCATCACCACAATCTATGACATAAACATATCCATCACCTCCAGAAGTTTCCCATACCCTCTTTTTCTTTTTTTTTTGGTTGTGGACCATTTTTAAAGTCTTTATTGAATTTGTCAGAGTATTGCTTCTGTTTTATATTTTGGTTTTTTGGCCGTGAGGCATGTGGGATCTTAGCTCCCTGACCAGGGATTGAACCTTCCTCCCCTGCACTGGAAGGCAAAGTCCTAACCATTGGACTGCCAGGGAAGTCCCTCTCATACACTCTTTTTTTTTTTTTTTAACATCTTTATTGGAGTATAATTGCTTTACAATGGTGTGCTAGTTTCTGCTTTATAACAACGTGAATCAGTTATACATATACATATATCTGATACCCTCTTTATTATTTTTTTCTTCTAGCTTCTTAAGATGGATGCTTTGATTATTTTTTATTTTTTCTATGTCTGTTGTCAAGGCTATAAATTTCCCTCTATGTACTGCTGTAGCTGCATCTCACAAACTTTAATGTGTTATTTTGTCTTTATCATTCAGTTTAAAATACTTTCTAATTTCTATTATGATGTGGTTTTTTTTAACCCATTGCTTATTTAGAAATATTGTTTAATACTCAAACATTTAGAGATTTTCTTTTTTTTTAAATTAATTAATTTTTGGCTGCTTTGGGTCTTCATTGCTGTGCACAGGCTTTCTCTAGTTGTGGTGAGTGGGGGCTCCTCTTCCTTGCGGTGCAGGGGCTTCTCATTCCAGTGGCTTCTCTTGTTGTGGAGCACAGGCTCTAGGCACGAGGGCTTCAGTAGTTGTGGCACGCTGCTCAGTAGTTGTGGCTCTCAGGCTGTAGAGCTCAGGCTCAGTAGTTGTGGCGCATGGGCTTAGTTGCTCTGCAGTGTGTGGGATCTTCCTGGACTAGGGCTTGAACCCATGTCCCGTGCATTGGCAGGCGGATTCTTAACCACTGTGCCACCAGGGAAGTCCTAGAGATTTCTAGTTATCTTTTTTATTGATTTCTAGTTTAACACGCTGTAGTCAGAGAACATTCTGTACATGATTTATGTCCTTTAAGATTTGTTGAGGCTTGTCTTGTGGTCCAGCATTTGGTTAATGTTGATGAACTGTCTCATATACACTTGAAGAGGATATCTGTTTTTAGTTTTGGGGTGCAGTACAGAACAACTAGGTCAGGGTTTTAATTGTGTTGTTGAAATCTATATGTTTGCTATTTTTTTCCCTCTATGGAAGATAATTTTTTTAACATCTTTATTGGAGTATAATTGCTTTATAATGGTGTGTTAGTTTCTGCTTTATAACATATGCAAGATACTTTTAAGTTATTTCTATTTACTGTGGGGTTGCCTTTTTATCTTTTAAATATTTTTAGTTTTTGCATTATATAGTTTGAGCCTGTGTTATTAGGTGCACATAATTTTTATATTGTTGAATTAACTATCTTTGTGAAATGTCCTTTATCTTTAATAATACTACTAAACTACAGCAGCTTTCTTTTGATTAGCGTTTGTATTTTATATCTTTTCTAGAATGGAAAGATACTTAAAAATAACTTGAGAATTTAAAATCTCTTTCAAAATACATCTACTTTAGAATTTCTTTAGAAATATATACACACATATGTATACATATATATGGATATGCATATTTATTTATTTCAAGCTGTATTTTGTCAAGTCCTGTCAGAGAGCACTATCATTTTCTTATGATAGACGACATTATGCAAAGGAAAAATTATAAGTCTGTGGTCTAAAAATCTAAAGGAGTGAGAACATAAGAAAAATGGGCAGATTTCATGATTTCAAATTGGGTATGATTCAGAAAGATTTTATGTGGCTGAGGTTGAAGTTTAAACTGAAAAGTTGAGCCATATTTTGGGAAATGTTTGTAGACATCACTTAAAAAAGTTAATCTCTGGGGCTTCCCTGGTGGCGCAGTGGTTGAGCGTCCGCCTGCCGATGCAGGGGACGCGGGTTCGTGCCCTGGTCCGGTAGGATCCCACATGCCGCGGCGCGGCTGGGCCCGTGGGCCATGGACGCTGGGCCTGCGCATCCGGAGCCTGTGCTCCACAACAGGAGAGCCCACGGCAGTGGGAGCCCCGCGTATCGCAAAAAAAAAACAACAAAAAAAGTTAATCTCTGAATATCTGTTCCTGAGATTTTCCACCACTGCATCTGTATTCCAGACATTTCACTTCAGTTCATGAAAATGGTTATGTTGCCAAAAACGGCCCCTTATAGCAAGTGTACTGTTTATTATTCAGTATAACTTCTTTGTTGTTAACAAATAGCTCAATTTCAGAATTACACTTTTGTTCTGGATTTTAGATTAGAAACTTTTGTACCAGATTGCCAAATTTTCAGTATATAAGGAGAGACAGGGGCATGTGTCTTTCTAGCATCTTAACCTCAAATGTACTAGTGAGAATTTGTATTCAAACATATAATGAAGACAGCATTTGTTTTATTAAAGTTATGCCTCTAGATTTAATGACTGGGACTAAGAAAATAGCAGCAGTAGATAAAACTGGCTTTATTTCCATAACTATTTAATAATTGCTTTAAAAGTGTTTCCATGGACATATTGAAAGTCTAACATCTGTAAAGTTGAACTATAAGAACATATTAGTTTAACCTATTTCTTAACTTTTTGGGATAACGACATCTTAAAAGATAGTATTTTGCTTTAGGTTTGGATTTTATTGTAAGGAAATTAAGTGGAGGTAAGAGGCTGCTGATACTGGATGCTGAACTGAGGTGCTTCCCGTTTACTTTTACCTCATTGAGTTGATTGATAATGGCTTTTAGAGGTTCTGCAGCTAACTCTTACTCTTACTCTTACTCTTACTTAACTTACTTACTTAACTCTTACTCTTTTGTTTCTTCTTCTTCTTTTTTTTTTGAGGTACGCGGGCCTCTCACCGCTGGGGCCCCTCCCGTCGCGGAGCACAGGCTCCAGACGCGCGGGCCCAGCCGCTCCGCGGCACGTGGGGTGCTCCCGGACCGGGGCACAAACCCACGTCCCCTGCACCGGCAGGCGGACTCCCAACCACTGCGCCACCAGGGAAGCCCTTCTTATTCTTTTAAATGTGTTTGGTTTTAGCTTCTAGTCTAGAATATTTGAACTGTGAGGACTATTGGTAGGTGATACCTTCTTTGTGGTGTTTTAAAGCAAATGCTTGAGATTTCTTTAATCCTAATGAAGTAAGGATGTAAAGAGGTCTAGAGCAATTCCTCTCAACTGAAATGGAGGAAAACTTAAGGCAAATTAACTTGGGACAAGTCAACAGAAAAGCTATGTATTATGAGTTATGGTAGTCCTCAGCTTGTTAGCACCTTGAAAGTTTAAATGGACAGATTCTGAATTCAGTTTGCTTTCAGTGGGGTAATAGTTTTTTTTAAGATCAAAATACCTTGGGATGGGATTGATTGCCTATTCTTTTGTGAAGTACCATTATCTTCCTAATAGCAGAGGGCACTTTCTATGAAGTATTTTAAGATATGATTAGGTGGCATCTCTTAAGTCCTATCCCAGAGTTATTGTCTTGGTTAAAACCATACTTGGGGTGTATTGTATGCTGAAATAGTTTTTTGTGGGCTAGTTTAGAACCCAATCACTTTTTATTATACTTCTGTGAGAAAATGCACTCTGATGAATTCTGAGCTCATGAATGAGGGGATGTCTATATACTGTTTCATTATTCGAGAAGATGATCTTTAGACAATTATAAATTAAGAATACAGCACATATCAAAACTAGATCTACAGATGTGAAAGGAATGATTACTGAGGAATTTGATGCTATTCATGTGAGACTTCTTTTCTTCCAAATATATGCATTTTCCAACGTGAGTTAGTTGATTATATTACTGGTTTGCAGCTGTCAGATTTTAAGTTTGCCATTTCTATCTTTCATGTAAAATTTTCTTATTATGAACATGCACAAAAGTTAAGAGAATAGTATAGTGACCCCTCCCCCATATTTTAACACTTAGATTAAAAAATCATCAATATTTTGTCATACTAGTTTTACTCATGCTTTTCTTTTTTAACTGCTCTTTTGAGTGGGGAGGACTCCAATTTTTAAAAACCATCCCCTTTTGAGCCCATGTGTACACTATTAGATAAATCATAATCCTTAGTTAATTGCACTCATCATTGGTCATTGCATAGTCCCCCTTAATTTATTCATTCACGTTTGAAATGATCTTTATTAATGAAATAAACACCTAGGAACCCATCTCCCAAAGCAGAAGTCTAAGTCCTGCTTTGAAACTCACCTGTATCAAGCCATCTCCCCGTTCTCATCGCCTGCATCCTTCTACCCTACCTGAAGTGATTGTCACCCTGAATCCTGTGTTCACTAATATTTTCTTTCCTTTTTATAACAGAAATCCAGTAGAA